GTCGACAGAAGTTGGAAGACCTGAACATGACCCAGGATGAACTCCAGCGGTTTGAGAAAGCTTTCAAAAGCGAGGAGTTCAGGAAACTGTTTGCCGAGTACGCCGAGGAAATATCTGATCCAGAAAACCGGAAAAGGTACGGGATACCCATGCGATTCGTTGTTATTTGCTAGATAGTGGTGGGAGGGGGGCGCGTTAATCAACAGACATGAGATCGCCTGAACAGGGGGTATATACCAGTAATTTCCATGATCGCAAGAGACTTGTGATGGATTTTCAGACTGGTAATTGGCATGATGTTCATTTCATTTAGTTCTTGACTACATATATGTGCACTTCTCAATCTGATCTGATCTGAATTCAGCCACTAACTAGCCTCCTTCGCAGACTTGTTGGGCGGCGGCATTATTTTTTAGGTGAGCGACGCGAGTTATGCCGCGGAGGGATGATTTTGCCGCTAAGGGAGTTTTTGCCACGGAGAAAAGGTTTCCCGCTCCAACAAGTCTGCGAAGGAGGCTAACTTATAACTATCCACTCAGAGGTGTATGTGATGACAAACGTTTCATTATACACGTTTTTCAACAGCTCGATCCTGGGTTGATAAAACTGAAATGTGTATTCATGACTGCTCTTTTTAATTTTTAGCATACTAGTAGTTTACTTGCCAGTTAGAGTAGCAACAAGGTTCTTTATCACATAATTTGTATATCATGCACAGCCTAAATGTCTTTCTTGTAATCTGTTTCAGATATGAGGCTGAGATCACGGCCATGGAGAGGGAGCGGGGAACTGACGTCACCTTCATCAACCCTGAACCTCACTACGTCATCAAAACTTCCCTGGACGGGGAGAAGAAATGTTTCATCAACATTTGTGCTAACCAGCATGTTGAGGTAAAAAGTTTTAACAGTGACGCATGTTTCCCCACACATTTAGGTAACAGCTTCATTGGTTTTGGGCCATATTTGCAAATGATTGCTCATTACCATTAGCAACTATTTTAGGGTTTGCATAACACTAACCCTAATTTAGGGTTACGGCAACTCTACTTTAGGGTTACGCTAACCCTAATTTAGGGTTACGCTAACCCTAATTTAGGGTTACGGCAACCCTAATTTAGGGTTCCTAATTTAGGGTTACGCTAACCCTAATTTAGGGTTACGCAAATCCTAATTTAGGGTTACGCTAACCCTAATCTAGGGTTACGCAAATCCTAATTTAGGGTTATGCTAACCCTAATTTAGGGTTACCATAACAACAGAGAAGGGTCAAAAAGACAGAGAATGGGCCGGGGGACAGAGAATGGGCCGAGGGTAAGAAACACAGATAATGGTCAGAGAAACAGAACAGAGGAGTATAGGATGTTGTAAGAGTAGTTGAGAATGAGATATTCAAAGGGCAGATATTCATAGGATATATGTTAACGTACCAGAGAACTAGAGCACTAGTGTAGTGGCTTACAGAGTAATTTTAATTTACTAGTTCATGCTTTGGGTGCCCGTATGCTAATTAGCAAGGTTTTTGCATATATGGCCCAAAACATTTACTAAGTATGTGTAAACATTCAGTAAAGGAACAAATTATTAGAAATGACACTAGAAATGAATTCAGCAAAAATAACTAGCTAGGAGTATTTCAAGTCATCATTTTGTGCAAATTTGACTTCTTGATGTGTTCTGTACCTATGTCAAAGAAGGGTCTCCCTTCTACCTCCATGCATGTAGATGACCTATTACACCTGCATGATGAATTGTTTTCTCATTGTTGTTTCAGAAACCCAGCAGCCAGCCCTGTATGCAGGGGGAGGGGCCCAACAGAAGGATAGGGGAGACGTGGTCTGTTCCCCACAGCCTGACACCAGGCCGGGAGGACCTGGATAAGAACAAGCAGCGCTGCATGGTGTATGACGTTGTGTTTCATCAGGAGACGTTGGAGAAAGCTGCTGGTGATAAGAGGTAAGACGTCTTGGAAAGGCTGAACTTGCCCGAAATGTTTTTTAAGTAAATAGATAATTTTAAATATACAAGCATGTGGCCTTACAGCCATGTGAATCAAAATTCAGTACCTAAGATTCAAAGAAACAAATTTATTACTTTTATTTTGCAGGTTTAAGCAGATGGTGAATGACATTGCCTTCAGTGCTATAGAGAGGCAGTTCCAAGTGAAACTGGATAAAACCAACATCAAGTTTCCCAAGATTAAGTACAAAGGGACTCCTACAGCTACAGTCATGAGGTGGGTATGCCACACTGGAGAAAAAAAAAGAAAAAAAAAGCTTTCTTAGACCTACTATTGTGAACTAACATTGTGTACGATGCTGATTTTCTTTGATTATAGTTCTGCCTTGAGTTTTTTGTTTTTCCATTACATGTACTTTCCATAGTTAAGCTCCTTCACTTTTTATGGTTGTCATACTCAGTGCTTAGTGCAGTCGTACTCAAGCTGTATGGCTGGTCATAAGTGGAACAGTTTTTATTGATTTGTTATCTAACTTTGCCTTGATATTCAGTTAATGTATAGTTGTTGATTGATCTTTCATAGGAAACGCTTGCCTGATGGACCCCAGACTTCCCCCGACAATGATGATGACCCTATCCAGTTCCCCTATCCTTACAGTCCCCCTTCAGGAAACACAGAAAAAACAAAAGAAACACAAAGCTCAGTCAGACCCAATGAAGAAAATGAACCAGAACAGAAGCAAGACTTCACTGTGCCCAAGTACACCATCAAGCATCGATCAGAATTTGATATCCAGAACTTCCGTGAGGCACCTGATGCTGCTCCATCCACACGACCGAAGGAACTTGTAGTTGACATTGACTTTCCTCTTCTGAAGTCAGCGGCCAAGTTGGAGCTAGACATCTTCGAGAAACAGCTGAAGGTGGAGTCAAAGAAACCTGCCTACAAGCTGGACATCAGTCTGCCATATCCCGTAGACGAGAATGAAGGAAGCGCAAAGTTTGACAAGAGCAAGAGGCAGTTGACGGTGACGCTGGTGGTTAAGCCAGCTCCACAGGAAGACCTTCCATTCACTGCTGGAAGGACAGAAGACAGGCAGCTGGTGGAGGAAGTCACAGATGTACAGGTAGGAGGGAAAGCAGAAGAGAACCATGTACAGGATGGAGGAAGTACAGAGAACATCTTACCAACTGAAGTGTCAGAGATGGAGACAGACAGCAGGGATAAAAATCCATCAGCAACTGAGACAGAAGGGACAGGGACTGGACCAGTCAGTGATGTTGCAACAGCAGCAACCACTATTGATGCATCAGACAAGGACATTTTCAAGGAAGAAGATGAGCTCCAAAGCAGCTCCACAAGTCTGGATCTACCCTCAGACTCAGCCACACCTGCTAGCACCACACCTGTTAGCACCACACCTGACAGGGCCACACCTGCTTCCCCCACCTGTCCTGACTATACCTACAGACAAGACGAGGACAGTATGACGATTGTCATCCATGTCCCCAATATCATCGAGAAGAACATCAGTAAGACCTACTCAACATCCAGTTACATCATCAGTGTCCAGTTCCAGGCAGCAGGTGCAGTTACAGTTATTCTTACTGGGAATTAAAGTTCTAGCTAGACTCCAGTTCTAAACTCACTCCCAGTCTTTTATCTTATGTTCATACATGGGGGCTGGCATTAGACTGACTCATAAAGAGCTGAACCAACTCAGAAGATGTTTGCCAATGAATACCTTCAGTTGCATTCAACACTGGAAAAAAAACTACAGCTTATTCTAAAGCTTTGAGCTGCTATATGCTATCCTACCCTTACCCTTTATCATCTAACAAATATTTTCAATCCACCCAGGTACCACCGGGCTGCAGTACTACCAGCTGTTTGTGGTCCTGCTGGATGGTAACACCGTGGTACGGAGTCAGACCAGTGTAGACGTGTCGCCCCACAATGCTGTGTTGCTGCTGCACAAGGACAACAGCTGCAAGGGATTGTGGTCCAGCTTCAAGGCTGGGGTGGACATCATGAACTTAGAGGTGAGGAACTTGGATGTATCATACTGTGGTCTAATGTTAATGATCCCAATTGTAGCCTAATTGTTAATATGCCAAAACTGGATTTGCATGTTACTGGTAGTTAGTGGTATTGGTTTCAGTCTTTGGAGAATAGTAAGCAGTCCAATGAGAGCCATACCTCGAGCATGTTAAAGAACCCACCACACTTATGATAAAGAGTAGTCCCAGGTTCAAATCAGGCAGGCCATTTTGAGGCTTGTACTTGCCAACTTGAATGACTTTGGCCACTCAATGTTGTATCTGCTAATCCTCCACTTTGTGTCCTCCCAGGAGAAACAGTTCCTGACAGAAGATAGTGTGAAGGCAGCCGTCCAGGCAGTGGTCAGGGAAGGCCAGGCCGTGGCTACAGACACAAGCAGTGTCAAGGTCACAGAGGCTTCAGAGGACAAGCTGGCCATTGAACTCACGGTTAGTTTTATGCTATCCAGTCTGATGTTTCTGTGTTAAATTGAGACTTAACATGGACTCGTGGCACACCATGCTAGGTGAAGACTGTAGAGTAACCGGTATGTTACAAGCATACTAGAATCAGCATGAAAGTTCATCTGAGTTGGTAAATTACATTATGAAAAACTTAAACTGTTCTCCAACTGAAAATTTGACTCACCAGAAATTTTCGACTGAATCACTCAGTCTTCCTCAGCTATCTGACCCAAATGCTGTGGACACGTGATTTTTCCCGCGTGTGACGTCAGCAAAGGGTCAAAGGTTGTCTGAGGCCATATACATCAGGGCACTTCAACTGTTGCTCAACCGGGACGGGGGCCGATATCGACTTCAGACAACCTTTGACGTGGGAAAAATCACGTGTCCACAGCATTTGGGTCAGATAGCTGAGGAAGACTGAGTGATTCAGTCGAAAATTTCTGGTGAGTCAAATTGTGATTTGGAGAACAGTTTAAGTTTTTTGTAAGCATACTAGAAGGCTTTTATGAAGGATATTAGAGTGGGTGCCAGGAACTTCAGGTTATCATGTGTTCTCCATGAGATTATTTCTGTTTCAATTCCAATTACAGAATCATATTTGTGATCAGTGATTTCTAATGAATGATTAATAAATACATGTATATTAAATGTTGAATACAGGATGTGTCTGGTGTGCAGGATCAGGAGGAGATGGGAGGAAAGCCCACAAGTGCGACGGTAGATGGGAATCTGGACATCTCACCTCAAACTGGGAAGTCTTCCATTAAGGAACGTGTTAGTGAAGTCATTGAGGGAGGACAGAAAGGAGAGGGGTTGGATAGTGATGATGATGATGCCGATGATTCAGGAAGCACCCAGGGAACAGAAGCTGTCAATCAAATGGTGCTAGAGAACACTGTTTCTGGTAAGGGTGATGGAGGTCCTGTCGAGATGGTACAAGATGAAGAGGACGGGGGGCATGTGCCAACTGGGAAGACAAAAAGGAGGAGAAGGAAAAGGAAAGGGAAAACACAAGCTCAAAGTCAGGATTCTAACACTGGCACTGAGGCAGGACCAGGAGTATCAGATGAGAAAGGTGGGCACTTGGAAGGAAGAAAGGAGGATGAAGATAGAAAGGCAAGCACGTCAAGCAAACTTGAAGTCTCAGAACAGTCAACAATATATTCAGAGAGTGAGAAAGAAGCAGCTACTCAAGACACAGTTGGTTTTAATAAAACCATCATCAACACAGGAAGGGAAAGGAAGAACTCAGGGAAGAAAAGCGTCACTTTCTCGGACAATGTGGAGATCCACAAACTCGATGATGAAAGGAATGGGAAAGGCAAAAAGAAGCAAAAGGGTAAGAAAAATAATCAGAATGGCCAGAAGGTAGCAAATGGTCATAGAAAGACAGAAGGTGAGCCCACCATGGCAGCAAATGTATCAGAGGAGGTCACTGTTCCAAGTGTGTCCAACACAGAGTCTACACCTGAGCACAAACCAGCAGGTCAAGGTGAAGTTGGAGATGGTGATGTCAAGAAGGGAAAATCTGACCCCGCCAAGAAGTCCGAACCGCAAGCTGTGGATGCACTAACAATCAGGGATGTCAGTACTGGTGAGGAGGAGGTAGTGACGGAGCACAGGGCCGAGTGTGCCGTACAGTTCACCAACAAAGTCATGTTTGAACTGGATTAGGTGACAAGGAATTATGTTGGAAGCATGACATTACCAATTTTCATTGGATGTTAAGTTTCATGTTGGATTTTGTTGAACATTCAAAATTTTGCAGTGTGTTTCAGGATTGAAACTGACCAGTGGTAATGCCAGTGCTAGTTGGGGTCAGCAGTGACAGTATTGTTTTGTGTGCTCATGATACATAATAAAGTTTTCAGATTGAATCAACTAGATATTTTGTTCAAATTAGATTATGATAGCACATTCTGTAGTAAATTCAGAAAACCTAGTTAGTACTGCTGAAGTTTATCAATAGTTCTATTAGAGCACAGGTACTTGGATTGAGCAATTCAAGTTTAAGAATGGTGACAAGTGTATATATCTTGATTATTCAAACGAAATGTTAATAGAACAGCTGTTGTGATTTGGACCATTTGCAATTTTTATGTTAGAACTGTAGGGATTAAAACATTTTCACTTGATTCCAATCGACATTAGATACTGTTTTGGTACTTAAGGAAGATATGTTTTAAATGGTGTTGGATAGAAGATCATCAATTGAATCATTGATAATAGGTTATGTTGATGCTATTAGATGAGTTCAAGTAAGTAAAAATGACTTGATGATCAAAGACGATTGCAGAGTTGGATTTTAGATAGTCAATGCTTGAAATAGTTACAGCTGATGTTGAAGACAGATTGCATAAAACACATACAAATGTAGTTTCAGGATTTAGTACCAACAGGAAGAAATCAGTGGCTGATAATGTTATCAGATTGCTGTGTCTTAGCAATAATGACAAGAAACATCATTTGGTAACCAGACAAACATGATGTATTTGCCCCACATGGTAATATCCAGCTGCTTGTTCTCAACTTAAACTACTTTGTGAGTCTAAAGACATCCAAACTAAGTACAAAGTACGAGACAGAGCGCAGTATTACTCCTGTCCAGCTGGGAGTTCTCACCTCCTCTACATGCATATAACCACAACTAAAACCTGGAAATACATAACTAACAACAAGGCAATGACAATATATTGTGAGACGTGTATGTCCAAACCAACAGTGTTTTATAGTAATATATGTAAAAAGCTGCACAGCTTGACTATGTTGAGAAATACTGAGACTGAATTTGGGAATGATCCAGAAAAAATGGGTGCAAGAGCAATAGAAGAAATGAACAATTGAGGTACCCCAGTGTACAAAATGAACAAATAGGAGAATTATCCCACTGCAGACTTGTCACATTTAGTCTGTAGTTCCTGGAAGTCCTCCTAGACATCAACATCAAGCTTCACGTGTAACAAAGCCTTTCATTGACTACTCTGTACAGTTATCCTTCAACAAGTCTCTGCTGCACGAAGAGACAGGATTGACAACATTGTAATCTTGTTGAATAGAAGATCTAATCAAGATAGTAGTTTCAAACTACAATGTATGCATACTGTAATTTTTGCAAATTTGGCAGGCTTCAATTTGGTGAAAGAATTTTTTCTGGAGTAGCTGATTATATTCATACTTGCTACTATAGCTTTTAGTGATTTGGAACAAAACAAATAAATCTGTGAAAATTGTTTTGTTTTTGATGTTAGAGAAGATACATTATGTATCTAAAAGACCCAAATTCCCTTATATTTCATACCGATAATCTCCATTTTAATATTGCACTTCAGTTTCATCTCACACAACAGTGTTATAATCATTACCCTCTTCCTAATACAGTACTACATGACAGTTTGGCTATGTTACATTTTACTCTTTCTCTGACTACTTACAATGTGTGAAAATACAGGAACAACTTGACTAGAGCACATATATGTACAATGATAAATCACATTGTGCAGTTCAAAAGGAAATGATACAACAACAATGTACACTCAAAACACCTTATTGCATTAGAGTTGCCTATGGAACGTTGGTATGTATACAACAGCTGGAACCAAACCACTACCAACAAGTTTGAACAACGGAACACAGCAATATCAGTTGGACAGTCATGCCTTACTGACAGAAAGTTGCAGAAGCTTTCTGAGAAGGTTTGACAGTAATTTGAAACATAAAAAACCCAATCAAACCTAATAGTCACACTATAATTGTAAAATCTACATGTACAATAGAAACTTAGAAATGTAACATGGAAGATTAGAAGAAAGTATGCTCCTCCAAACAATATGGGAAACTTTACATGCAGTAACAAGATTTAATTGTAGGGCTTCAAATGACTTTTTTTCATGTCTAAGCAAGTAAGCAATCTTATATATAGTAATAAGCACGTACCATGTAGATACTGTATCATATACACCATATTTCTGATCTTTCTACATCTGTAATTAATAATAAAATACAGATCTCTACTTACTGCATTTTAATCAGTTCTACACAAGATACATAAAACTTCACTGCTTTGTTTCCCTTTTAAGGATAGTCTTAACACTTGCATACAAGATGTAGCTGACAACAGTGCCCTCTAGTAGGGGATCTGGTTCTGGTAGTACTGCAGCATGTCGTAGGTAATGCTCCTGTAGTTGAGGAAGGAGTCCTTGATGACCTTCTGCATGTAGTTGGCCGCATCCCTCTCGTTCTGCAGGGGAGCAAAGCGCTGGCGAAGCAGCTTGATGGTCTGGCCTCGGAAACACGGCAGTGCTGTGTCCAACATCAGAGCAACCAGCGACACGATAGCCTCCTGGTAGGGGCGCACAGCAAGGTAGCCCTAGAAACAAGCAGTAAATGGTTATTGTTTTCATTTCATTTTATTGGCTCAGTTGACATACAGTCAAGGCTGCCCAATTAGCTGAAGGCCATTACTAAAGGCTAGTCTGTGAAGTTTGAACTGATGGATGGGTGGCCATCACACTGGGATACAGCCATGTTTTATCAAATGTGTTGGGGTCTTGTCTGTGTCTTAAACTGACTGACAGATCAGCATACCTTACAGAAGGACTGCAGTCCCTATCAACAGCAAACAAACTGTGGTTCAGCAGATAAATGGCTAGGACCATAAGACAACTGTCCCATTTCTTTAATTGTTCTGAGGGTCTGTATTAAATGTAGCCCACACTACTTATGAATTACCTGTATACACAGCTCCATGAAGCGTCGGAACGGAGGGGCGTCCATCTTCCCACCCATGATCATCACCATCTCATCTGTCAGTTTGATGTCTGGCTCCCAGCCGAGGTTCCCCCCAGGTGAGCTCTCGAACATGAAGCCGAAGTCTATGTGCATGATGTGGCCCTGAGGAACAGTCAATCATGATCATTAATTTTATCAGGAACACTCCCTTCAAATGGTCAGAAGAACAAGTGACAGTACATGTACATTGTATATACAATTTCACTGAGTGTGGACATACCCCTTGCTATTTAAAAAAAGATCAAGGAACAGCATTGAGCGGGTATCCTTTTCTGGTAGCAGGCAATCCGGGTTTCCAATGCATTGAGACTGACTCAGAAAAAAACTTATTGGCATACATGTGTACACAGCTTACCATTCTATCTTCCTTACCTGTGAGTCCAGCATGATGTTTCCATTATGCCTGTCCTTGATTTGTAGCAGGAACCCTATAACGCTGTAAGCCGCCATTGATTCAATAAAGTTCCGGCGGGCGTTCTGAAACATGAGGGTCATCTCATCTCCATACTTCTGCAGGAAGTACTCGTACAGGCCGATGTCGGTCTGCCGTCCCAGCTGGTCACGTGACTTGGTGTCTGGGATGCACTCGATGACACCACAGCCTGGCGCCGTGGCGATGACACGGTACGGGTACAGGAACAGGTCCAGCCCCGCCTGCCGGAAGATGTTCTTAAATAGTGTCATCACCTGAAACAGAAAATTATCTTCATTCAGTTTCACCTTGAGGGAAAGGCCTCAACACTTTTAGCTTATTAAGTTATAGAAAGTCATTCTCCCTCTGAAAGTTAATAGTTGCATGCCATGTATAGTACAATAAAAACAATAAGTAAACTGTTTCAGCTTGTTAATAAATTCTCATCTACATGTAATCAGCATGAAATGGCTGCCACCTACCTGTTGGCATCATTGAGTGTATAAACCAATACCCATATTACAGTAGGGACCTCAGAGAAGCAACTGATATCTTTTGCTGCCAATCTGTCATACCTGCAGTGCGAGCATGTCCTGTCGCACATCATCTCCCACTTTAAAGATGGCTGCCTGCCAGACCTCCTCTGCTGTTCCATCTGTTGTGTCCCCTCCCTCCAGTCCAAGGTTCTCCAGATCGTTGATCCCACACTTTCTCACCTGCAGAGAGCACAGTCACAGGTTTCACACAAACTGTATCCACATGTCCATAGTGTAACACCAGCTAAGATTTAAAAGCTCACACTTCTGATCCTTAAGCAGGGTAACTAAACAATGGATCAAACACACTATAGACTCAGGTTCATTGGAGTCAAATACTAAAGCAAACAACAACTAACTTAAAAAAAACCCAACAAAAACAGACCTTAAACTTGGCCAGGAAAGGTGCCTTTGCTGCGCTCTGGAGGGGAGTTCCTGAGTTGTAGTCGATGCCCAACACGACAGCCTCAGGGTTACTGGGCAGGTAACAGCCAGGCTGGACCTGAAGGGCAGCAGGAACAAGGGTGTTGGTCAGACCATACCACGTGGTAACAGTAATTATAAGTTCAAACAAGGAGCTCCAACGTCCTTGGTTCAAAGCACATGAAACGTCTACTGAAAATATCTAGGAGTCTGTGATGCTATTTCCTGAATACAACTTATAACTATGAACATGTATCAATAAGTACATATCTGAAGAATGGTGATAACACTGGTAAACTGTGGATAACAAGGTCTGTTTTGTGAATTATATGTTGCATTTGGTATTTAGGCACATCTAATTAGCCTTAACACAAAGGAGTCAGTTGATCTTTCAACACACAAGCTAATTTGCGTAACATTTCTAAGCGAAGGGTACTTCCCCATCATTGAAATATAAAATGCAATACAGTGCTCAACATAGATCTTAGGTACTCACAGCAATTTTCTTCATGGCCTTGAGACAGGCTTTCTTCCTCTCTGCACCTTTAGGATATGGTCTGATCTCCCCTGAGATAGCCGTCACCTTCCCGAAGAAGTCAAACTCCCGTTGATAGAACTGTTTAGCCGGGCCTGATAATGTCCGAGTCATCAGCTCAATCATGGCCTCAAAACGATCTCCAACCTGCAAGAATGGGACTTGCTGTCAGAGTATGAAAGGGACCTTTTCACTAGATAGACTTTAACAACACTGAACATCAAGGGATCAGGCATGGGAAGGTGTTTAGCGTAGTGAGCCATCAAGTCCTGCAAAGCTTGCATGTTATACTATTGAAATCCACACCTCTGGGTCCTTGATGGTGCCGTCCTCATCAGTGTAAGCATTGGTCTTCATGTTCCAGACAAACTGGTGAGCCAGTAGCTGGGAGCGCCGACTGGCCCACTGGATATACTCTTGTACGTACCCCATGGTGTCGTAACGTAGAGCCTGGGGTAAGAAAAGGTAGCTGACATTTCTAGAAAATCCTAGTTCCACAACAAATGTAAAGAGTACAATGTATAGCAAACACCACAACTATTTCAGGTGGACTTATACTTTAGACGTTCCAGTCATGATAGAAATGATCACAGTTTGTGTGGTTAAGTCATTAGCATCATTATGTTGGTGACATTTACATGTGGATCATTCCTGAAGACATCGGTAATTTGGGTCCATATGTAGTGAATCATTCTGTTAGAGGAAGTTACTGTTTAACCCTTTTTCCGATGAAAACTGATATCATACCTGGATCAGCTGTGGGACGTAGAACAGGGTGACCTCGGGCGGGAGGGAGCGCAGGACTTTGACGCCGAGTTGCGAGGTGAAGGGATGAGGCGGGAACTGGCGGGAGAAGTACGACAGCGCCATGGCGGGGTTGACACCAGACCAGGTCAGGATGTGGCTCAGTTCTGGGGCGTCCACCTCAACACTGTGCTCTGTCACCAGGTACTGCAGAATGGCAGAAACAGTACATTCAACCTTCACTAGGGAAACTTGTGTTAAGTACTAGCCTCAGCCCATGAAGCATTTTCCTTATTTAGTAATGGCCCACCTCCACATTGAGTTCTTTAACCACGCACTACACAGCAGGACCTGAAGTATAATTTTGCTGAGCTAAAAAAAGCACTCTTAAACTCCATACCTCCACCCATGCAGCAATGTTTTAGAACCTTACAAGCTTTCTTGGTCCAAGCTGAAATACCGAGTTATAGAATAAAACAAAAATAATAATTTAAAATTAATCTATAACAGGCCATGCTGCCAGAGTGAGGCCTACTTTCTGGTCAGGTGACTTTTCCTCAACCCACGCAGGCAAAAGGAACTGCAAAAATAAGACAGCCATTACACAATGTTCAGTAATCCTCGAGAAAATTAATGTATCTGAAACAGGAGAAGTCCCAAAAGTTTAGCACTTCTTACTTGAGGAAGAGCATAACAAAAATCATAAATCTATCCTGTTTACAAACACATACAGTTAAAAAGAGTCCGAGTTTTACCTGGATTGCTCTGGGAACATCGACCACTGCTTGGGGGTCATTCCTGACTAGACGTGTCACCTCCCTGGAGATGGCTTCTGTCTGACGGAACCTGTATTAAGAGGAAGCATGATGAACAACTACTCCGTGTAGATACAACTGACAAGGGCACAAATTTTCATCCAAAGATGAAATTGTCTGTTTACACAAAATCTGATGAAAAAGTAAAAAAGCAAAATCAGTTATGAAATAGACCCAAGCAGGGAATGTGTGTTCCACTTGCTTGAACAGCAGTTTCGGGTTCCAGCTGCACAGCTGTATGTATCATCTTTCTATGTAATACCCATGAGACTTAGGATTTACCTGGCTGGGAGTTGCAGTGCCAGTCGCGGGGAGATATCCCACGCCATCTGTACCGTGTCCCTCCAGGCCCTGTCTGACATGGGCTGGGACTGCCAGGCGGTGATGGTGTCCTGCCCCACGAAGCTCAGCTCCGACAGGCCCAGGGGGTTGTACCACGTCGTTAGCCGCTCAATCTCGTTCCCAACCAGAGACAGCAGCAGCCCTCGCCGTCGCATGTAGTCCTTCACCAGTACCTGGTGTGACCACAAAACACTTTAGGTCACTTTAGGTGGGTAAAGTTAGAGGATGTTGCTGAAGTTTCCATGTCATTTGACACAATATGCTCTGCTCATCTGACAGATTTATTTGTAATATGTATAAGATTTCTAGATGCTTAAGTAACAAATATTATGCATACAAGCTGTATGTCTTTTATCTACATGTCCAACTTGTAATTAATGCCTGTTCTATCATTAACAAAATAAAAAAACTTCCCACCTCTCCCACCCTGCTCTTGCTGCGTGTGGTTCCTGCAGACCGCCTGGACAGGGTAGACATGTTGGAGGACATCGGCATGGTGTTTACCCAACCTTGAGTCGAGCGAGGGCCAACATCTGAGCTTGCTCGCAGATCAGCTGGCATGGACGTCATGGTTGCAGTGGCACTACGCACACTGATGGTGTCAGAGTCAAGTTCAGGGAAACTAGAACCAATCACATGGCTTGTCTTCAAGTACTTCTTGTCTGAATGAAGTGACTTCCAGAACTTCATGACCATCTCAATGACCTCCCTCAATGTCGTGGTGTCCTTCAGTGGAATGGGCAGAATGGCTGTGAAGTAGTCGAATGCCGTGGTGTAGACTTTCTCCCGAAGCACGTTCTTGCTGGGGCAGCTGGGTAGGACATCACCTTGGAGGAGCAGGAGGCCAAGGGTGAGAAGCCGGAATCGGGCACCAACCCCAACAACGTGTCGGTTCATGATGGGATCCTTTCCACCCACGAACATCGGGAGGGAGTAGTGCAGGAGGTCGGCGAACATTTCCACTTGTGAGGTGCTGCGGTACTTCACCACCTCAAACCTCTCCATCAGGAAGTTGATCCAGATGTTGTGCGGCTCAACATACGGTGCCTTCGACTTACAGTCTTCCTCCCCAAAGCTGGCCAGCACGTCCACTTCCTCCACATTGTGCATGAACAGCCCGAGGCGCATGTCCACACCCATCTTCCACGCCGCTGTCATGGCCAGCATGAAGGGAAGCTCCAAGTCTGCTCTAGCTGCCAGCAGCCACTGCCAACAGCAGATGGTGGTCTCCATGGCCTTGTCCGTGAAATAGCGTATGGGCGCCTGGCACAGGCTGTGCAGTAGAGGCCGGTGACAGCCCTTACTGTTGATCAGCAGTGCTGTAACTCGGAAGAGGGACTTACGGAAATGCTGGAAGTCCCTGCCTTGTGAGGATGCAGTGAGCTGTTGGTGGAAGGTGCGTGCCAGCCTCCTCTCATCACCCTGACACAGACTCAACATGCCCTGCACCTCACCCATGAAGCAGCTCCTCATGCTGGTGGAAGCCACGAAGCTGGAGTGATCCTTGTTCACACACTTTGGTCTCTTGTCTAGCTTTGATGTAGAAACATCCTTCGTGTTACCTGCGTACTGTAGAATGCTTTCTGCTGCAAGAGCCATGCCTGCATGTTTGGTCAGTCCGTCACACGTGTTCTCAATTTTTCTCAGGTACTCCTCCAGGTGGGACTTGGTGGCTGCAGGTGCCCACTTCAGGGCCTCTTGCAGAATCCCTGTACACCGAGCTGCGAAGTCTTGTACAACACTCTCCCTCGCCTCAGTGGTATCTGGGATGGTCAGCTGATGGGAGGTGTTGGGAACTTTTGCTCGTATAGCCTCAAGTTTTGAATCCCTCTCCAGTCCCTTGGACAGGAGCTGCAAGATATCCAGCATGGTGGAGATCACCTCTCCGCTCCACAGCAGGTGTGGAAACCGATCAACAAGCCCTGACAGAAACTTGTCTGCAACCCGACGGATGCGTTTCATCTGATGGTTGAACTTGACGAGGAGGAACTGGGCATGCTTGACAAGCTCTTTCTCCCACACATCTGTCCGCGGCTTGTTAGTCATGACGTCGAGGAAGATCTTGAAGGCCTGGTCAGCAACGGCGAGCAGACACTGCAGCATCCCCGCCTTGTCCTTCTGTACCTGTTTGTCCTCTAGATAGCGGAAGACGAGGTGAAAGCTGCTCATGTCTGTGGAGTGTTTGACTCTCATGGTCTCCAGCTTGAAGACAGAGAGAAGATAGGTGCACTGAGCAAAGCTGAGTTTGTTAATGAGAGACCCAACCTCTGCTGGATGCCCAAGGAGATTGAGAATTGTGGCCCTCAGTTCATACAGCTCTGCCGGCCCAGCTGCATCATTTCTCAGAGCTGAGTTGTACTGGAGCTCTGACCGCAGGTGCTCGCCGCCTGGAGACAGCAACACTGGGGACTTGGTGGCAATCTCACAAACTCCATCATACCATTCCGGTGGCCACAACCCGGCACCTTCTGTGGCAAATCCCATCACTACACAGTACAGCCAGAAGTCCCGAAACAACTTGTACAACCGTGGATTGGGATCCATGATTGGGGCCAAGCGTCTCATCAACAAGGCCAGGATGGGAATGAGGATGCCCAAGTTCCCTGCACTACTGGAAGCCTTGATAGCTGTGGAGGACTTCTCGCTGGCCTTCTCACTTGCTCGCTTCCCCTCCAGTCCCATCTGCACAAACAGCTCCAGCAAACGGACAAGGAGTTGCTGCAGCTGTTCCTCACCTTGTAGGTTACTAGCTACAACCCCGAGGGCATTGATGACTGCCAGGGAAACATGCCTGTAGCCATGGGCTTTGTTGTTGGTGGCATGAAGGTCCTGCGAGTAGGTGGCCGACCCTGCCTCCACAGTGATGGTGATGAACATCTTCAGGATCTCTTGGTACGTGGTAGGTTCTCCTGCCAGGAGCATGAGAGCCAACTGGTCCACAATCAGGACATCTAGAGGAGAGGCAGGGCTACAGAACCGCTGTTGGAAGATCTGCAGGACTGACTGCATGGTCTTGAGGTCATCCTTGAAAGTAACTGCAATAGCACCAAGGATATGGATAGTGTGGGTGGAGATGAGGGTGGATTCCCTGTCGCTTATCTCAGCCGCATACAGCCGGTTGGACAGGGACGCCAGAAATGCATGAACACAGTCTGGATCGTCCTTCATCCCTGCCTTCAGGACACGGCAGATGTTGGAGATGGCTGAGTCGCGCAGGCGGTGGTACTCAGTAGAAGACTGGCTCTGGGGGTGAACGGGACTGGTACCAGTCACCTGGATGGATGGAGGCCCACTGAGTGAGTGAGCACTGCCCCTGGTGGCTGAAGTGACCTGCAGTCGGTGAAGTTTCATCACCAGAGGCGACGGGTTGATCAGGAAGTCACGGAGGATGTTGAGAATGTTGTAAGTATTCCCGGGAAACTTTTCTGCCAGGGACCCAAGGCCCTGCAGGCAGCACAGCAGCAGCGGCATGTGCAAGACCACCAGCTTGGAGCTTGTGCTTGTGTTGAGTTTCTCCTGGAGACGGCTGCAGAGGGCGTCCACCCCTGTCTCCTCCTGCTCTGCCCACACCAGCAGGTCCACGCAGGCGGCATTCGCTCTCACATGCAGCACCACTGGGTTGAACGGCTTATTGGAAACTTTTGCCTCTGCTAGTTTCTCCATGACCTCCGTCTGCCCTGTCATAAACAAACCTTTGATGAAGTCATGGACTTCCTTGGTAAAGGAGGCAGAAAGATCCTTCACATTATAGAGGAGATCGTGAAGAAGATTGGTCAACACAACCGTCAAAGTCTCACTGAAGGAATGATAGGGATAGCTTGGGCCTCCTCCAGGCATGAAGCACTCCGTTGCTTTTGCATCCAAGTTCTTGAGAATGTCTTTGGTAAGGAGAGATTTGGAAGTGGACAAGATGTCCTGTAACTGGGCTGGATTGAGATGCAAGGGGGCTCTGCTACTACCTCCTAGGGTGGATGCCATGGGGAAGCTGGTGCCAACAGTTTGTAACAGGTCTTCTGATGCCAGTGGGGACATCACCCCCTGATATACACCTCCATGGATGGGAGAGTTGGGCAGGGAGCTACCAAAGATGGCTGCACCCTCTGACCCTCGTGGGGAGGGGGTGGGGGAGGGGTTGGGTGACGGTGGAAGGAAGTGTCCCTGCAGGTCGAGTGTGAGCTGTAGACAAGCACTGACTGGACGACTGTGCCCCAGGACAGGGAAGGTTGGTGTGGCAGGTGTGCTGACTCGGGTAGATGCAGGGGAGGAGAAAGTCTCACGTGGAAACAGCTGGGAGATTAGGCCGATGTCGCTGGTGCTGTACCGACCCAGAGCACGGGCTACTCCTAGCAGAGAGGGAACGACAATACTACACAGAGCAACCTTGGGGATGTCACCACTCTGGCACAAGGTGGCAAGCGTCTGTAAAATAGACACATGAAATGCTTTAATCTGTTGAATCTTCGATGATGATTTCTACTATCTCATCATATACATGTACATGTACCTAGTTAACTGCCCATGTAGCAAAGTAAAGTATAGGGCGAGATTTCCTTGTCTAGCCTATTGAGGGTGACAATTTCAATCTCCTGAACTAAGATGACAGGAAGATCTACGAGTAACGTGGCAGCTTCAGTTATTTATCTTTAAAGGTTAAAACAGCTGCGCAAAGATCAGACTGACCTGTAGCACTTCCACCTGAGCTGTAATGATCTCCCCACGGAAGGACGGATCTCTATGTGCTATGTCTGTCAACAGAGTCACCAGGCAGAAACTGAACTGCTCACTCTCAGGAAGCCCATTCTGTGGGAGGAAACACTGTCAAAATCTGCAGATGGGTAGAGACTGGACTGTCCTGGAAGGGTTTTCTAATCCTACATCTGTTTTGGTTAATAAAACACAGTACAGCTTCACTCACCTGTTTACTTGTGGTGGGGGAAGGGATCCAGTGAGCACCAGGGAGGTTTCTAAGGATCTCTATTAAGTATGGCACAAGGAGCTCCTGAAAATGTGATGAATATTGTGGTCATTACTCATAACACGCTGTACAGTATTAAATTTATCCACAGTTTTCCCCAAATCCATCAAAGCGAAGTCACAATACTCCAACAATCACCTGTTTCTCCTTCTGGACATATTGAAAATACATCACGTGAGACCCTACATTAATTTCTGATCTACAAATGAGTGTAATATACCGGAAAATACATTGAACTTAACCCAGTGGGTACTTTTGTACAATAAAGGTCTTCATTCATTCATTGAAAAGCAGAGAACAAATTGAAGAAATTAAGCAAGGTCAAAGGTTCAAGCTGCCCAAAGACACATATCATCATATCCAAGCAGCTTTTGCCCTGTAAATGACTGTAAAATACGCCATAAGCTAGTATGTGTTATGGCATATTTTAACCCCCGCATCTCCCTGAAGACCCTGATCTCCCTTGACACTCCAATATTTCTCTCTCAAGGGGAAGGTGTATTCCAGGTGTGAAGAGGGGGCATTGTCTTTTGACTATAGAAAAACATTTTTGTCGTATAATCAACATAATTAAGTCGACAAAAGGCAAAACAACAAAACCACCTGTATGCACAATACAGAGACACCATCAGATGTATTTGTAAACCGTTCATTTTGACGCACCTTGTGCTGAAGTCCTGACTCGATGATGAAGACCCCAAGTGCCACGATCGCATCCCGGCCTCTCCGGTCCAAAGTGTATCCTCCCTGTGAATTCTCCTGTCCACAGAGCCGCATTAGCCGCTGCACCTTCTCCACAGGGGCGGGAGTCAGGGCAGCTAGCGCCCGGGACAGATTCAGCACCGTGGCGGAGAAGAAGCCATCCGGGCCAGCCTGTACCGGGGTGGGGACAGCCTGGCCCTCGGCCCCACCCGGGAGGGGGCGGGGGAGAGTGCCGGTTGAGGACGTTGACGCACTCATCCCGAAATCACACGACTATTTCCTTCAATAAATTTGCACAACATGGCCTAGGGGTGTCAATAGACAACTGCAAAGAGACGTTATTGCACAAATGTCAAGTAAATGGGCATAATTCTACCGGTCAACGCAGAGAAAACCCCGTCACGGTCAGCCCCCGCCATGTTTGGTGAAGTCATCGACTGGGGGTTACACTAAAAAGCAGTAAAATCTAGAATTGAATTCCAGATGAAACGAATTATCGTCGTATGTATCGTATGTTTGACAAACAACATCAGCTTCTAGCAAATATCACTCATGTATCATTCAAAGTCAGGTAGATATTACAAAACTCTCCTGGAATTTTGTAAGAAAAACACATCAGCTCATTTTTAGTTCACCTTTGATATCCTTCTTTTATACCAACCCAAAGTTCGCAAACTTTCACCTTTGACCCGCATGAAGAGGATGCGAGCGTGGCCGATGGAGAAGCATGTCTCAAATTCAATGACATTTTGGACGTTTTCGCCTTACTACGGCGACCTATAGCGAAGAAAAAATGGAGCAAGAACTCGCGGCACTAGTCCAGCAGCTTATCGGGGCAGTAGAAGTCGCCATGAGCCCCATGTCTGCTTCACAACAGCGGCAAGAAGCGTATCAGGTAAAGTGTCCCTCCCTACCTCATGCTCCACTATACGCTATCATTTACTCTCACGTGAAGGGGGCAATGAGATAAAAGTCATAATGATGCAGTTGCTGTTGTTTATTTAATTTGTAAAATCCATTTTGTCAGTCTTTTCTTATCAAAGAACCTCTATCATGTTGCAAAAAAGTTGATAGCCGTGCTAAACTTATTATTAACTTTTTGTTACCAAGGAAAATGGTGCAATCCATTTTTATTTGGTGCAATGCTTCTATTGTTAAGTAATTAGCAAATGCGCATAAGACCTTGCACAAGAAATAGACTTATTGGAAACCGTAGTCTTCGTAAAATCTCAACACTATCAAGAGATAACAGGATTTTGGTAATTTTGTATCCATGTATCGTTTTGGTATGTTGAAAGAAAATGGAAACGTACAGCATGGATATGGATGTGTGATATGACACTGCATATATTATACTGTATGTGCATTGTGGGCTGTTGTTCATCCACATTGTGCCACATCCTTTGGAGTTAACAGCCATCTCTCTGTACTGTTGCCACACTGGGTGTTGTATTCTGTTCCTATCATATTACATATTTGAACTTAGGCATTCATCCATAATCATATTCATAAACTTTCAAGAAAACCTGCTCATGAAGAGCATATATCACACAAAATGCTTTATGATGCAGATTATGACAAAGATGCTAGAGAGTGCTGTCCGATTTTGTGGACAGTAGATTATTTAGAATCTTTGCATTTTTAACATAATCAATGATTATATTTTCTAACTTTACTAACTGGTATAGAATCATTTGTTAGTAGACATCATTTGTGATCATTCTTGTTTTAACTGTCACCATAACTTGGTGATACATGTTGACCTCAGATTTTGTCATGAAAATAGAAAGTTGTTACTGATGGAGTTGCAGCTTACATATCATTACTAGTAAGATTTTTAACCACTGATAACGTTTCCTGCTATTTGAGGTTCTGGAGTAGTTTGGCAGTAGTAATTAGCATCACTGCTACAAAATGACAAAATGTCCCTGCCAACAATATTTGTACAAATGTAGTGAGAACAATAAAAGTTGAGTGAACACACACATCTTCTTTGTTCCAGCTCTGCGAAAACTTTAAGGAACACTCTCCACACTGCGCAGCTTGTGGTCTGCAGCTGGCACAAAAAAACAACAATCCTGTCATCAGACACTTTGGGCTCCAGCTACTGGAACACTGTGCTAAGTAAGCAAACAAGTGGTCTTGGTCTGGTCAGATAACTAATAACTAATACTAGTAACGTTACAGGTAGAAGTTTATTAATAGATTTGAAATGTAACATTAGATATGTCATTAGACATAGAAACTTTTCATCTACACATCTCAACTAGAAACCTTGTAAAACAAACATACATCAACTTTAACTTAATGTGATAGGTCTCTGCCCCTTAAAAAGATCACAAATACATTATAACATTTTCTTACAGCAGTATGGGATGTATCATTGGGATGTGGAAATATTGATAAGATTTCTACAGTAGTCATGACTCATTATGCTTCACATGTATGTTATACAATATGATAGGTCATTTAGTACTTAGTAGTTCATTAAATTGTTAAAACAAAAAAAATTAGAATTTGCTGCAAATTTTCTAACTCAAGTAAAATATTTTTCCAGATTTCGCTGGAATTCCTGGCAGCCGCCAGAGAAGGTTCAGTTTAAGGACACTGTGCTGAAAATGATGGCAGAGGTAAGAACCCTTAATGATGTCATTATGACATGATATAAGCCAGAAGGGGAACAGTTGGCAATAAGCCATAGTCAAAGTAAGGGTCATTAGTGTAGACAGCAGTCATTAAGTCAAGTATCATACACATATCAAAATGGCTCGTTTTTGTAACACTGAATATCAGTTACCAGGTACTTATTATTGCACAATTTTTGAAATTTTGAAGAAAGATCATAACACCATGTGGCTGGCACATTCTTGTCATGAAGCTAAATTAAATAGATGAATAAATTATAAAAGAATTTGTAAACACTTAAATCCAGCATGTAAAATGTTTTCCTTTCTTTAAAAGACTTACTTTTTTGAGGGGAACAATTTTTTAAATCACAATCATCACAGGGAGTGGAAAATATCTTAACTGAGCAGCCGTACATCAAGGATGCGCTGTCCAAGATTGTTGTGGAGTTGATCAAGAGAGAATGGCCGCAGCACTGGCCTACTATGATGGAGGAGCTCAGCAGGGTGGCTGCACTGGGGGTAAGTCCTCATGAACTGGACTTCTAAAGAGCAGAGTTTGGCCTGCAAGTTCCTATATTTCTATAACATTTGTTCCGTGGAATGACTTAAACAGAACTGGAATGGTATGCTGTGAGAAGTTTTGTGGTACATAGTGGAAGTTAAACTTCCCCCTCTTTTGGCTACACAGGAGACACAGACAGAGCTGGTACTGCTAATCTTCCTGCGGTTGGTGGAGGACATCGTAGCTTTCCAGAATTTGCCAACTCAGCGCAGGAAGGACATCCTGCAGTGTCTGACGGCCCACATGGGGGAGCTGTTTACCTTCTTCACTACCACCCTGCAGACTCACACCATGCAGTACCATCAGCTGGTGAGAGGGGGCTCTGTGAAATATCCTGTACATGTCATGTGTGTTGTATGTTGTAATTTCAGCCTCAGATTGTATGACCATGGCCGAGAAGTAAAAATTTGTTTAACACAAGCTTTTAAACTGACTGTGTTTCTTTTATAGGCTCGCAGTCTTGGGGAAGCAGAGAAAGTCAAGGTAATATCATGACTTTTATAATACTAGTATTTTCTGTGCTTCATAATAATTTGTTGCATATATAGCCAAGAAAATATTCTCTGAAGTTGACATGGAATGCACAAAATAAGTGCGCCAGAGGAAAATTTCTATTGCCAAAACCCAATGAGCACCATATATTAGTTACATTGGCCTCGGCACTCTGGGTTTATAATTTGCAGATTTGTAGATTTTCTGGTATTCTGGCACCTGATAGTATCCCTCCCTCATCATTCTCCATTGGCAGGCTCAGTGCCACTGCCGTGTGGCGCAGGCTGTTCTCAAGACACTGTGCGGGTACGTGGAGTGGGTGTCGGTGTCCCATGTGTTTGCTAACGATGGGAAGCTGGTGGAGTCACTTTGCTTGTTACTGGGGCAACGGGAGTTCCAACTGCACGCCGCTGAGTGTTTACTTCTCCTGGTCAACAGAAGGGTTTGTACCATTGTTATCTACTTAAGAATATTTTATGTAATATTTTGAATGTTTGCTGGCTTGTTTATTTATTGATTTGCCACAATGCCCATAACTTCCTTACATATGTTTTCAGGGTAGAACTGAAGAGAGAAAACCCCTATTACTGTTGTTCAACGATGGAGCCATGGATACCATTCTATCAGCTGCAAGGTAATGAACTAAGGATGTTTACAAATGAGATGTTGACCAGTTTATTAGCATTGTTTAATTATTATAGAAAAAAACATTCAAGGACCATACCAGCGTGCTGCAGTGGTAGACCATTTAGGTTGCAAGACTAGATGTTCCAATATGTCAGTATAATGTGACATATGACCATACATTAAGCCCATATGACCCAAACTGTGTTCGCATGTTACAGCTCTGCAGACAGAGAAGCCCTGCAGAATGAGCAGCATTACCTGTTCCTGAAGCGCCTGTGTCAGCTGCTGGTCGGCCTGGGGCAGCAGCTGGGGACCCTCTGGGTCAGTAACATTCATTTTGTATTGGTGACTTTCTGTTGTGAATGGCTTGAGAGACATGGAATTTTTTTGATTTGAGGCATTTGTATTAGAATAGTTTTTAAGTTTCCATTGCTGTTGTCCTGTTTCCTTGTACAGGGTCCAACTGGCCTGGGAGTGGGCTGTCCAGCAAACTTCAGCAAGTACCTGTCAGCCATCCTGTCCTTCACAGCACACAACAGCCAGGTAGGTATGCAGTAAGGTACTGAAAACTGCAGGAGAACCAGTGTTTGAAAATGGACAAAATTTCTTGATAGAAGACAAATGCATTGATGTTATATTTATATGTTACTTTGTATATGTGACTGTACCATGACTGTATTGTTCAACAGGACCTGGTATAACTTGCCCTGCTACTGTGTTCCTCTGTACACACTGTATATTATTATTTTATTACAATTTTGCCCCCATAAGTGAAAACTTGTCTGAACAGTCTCCTTACCAGGCTTTCTCTTTTCCCCAGAGCCTGTCCTCCCTGACTCAGGGCCTGTGGGCAGCATTCCTCAGACATGAGCACATCTCCAAGGACTCTGTTTTTCTCGAGTTCGTCCCTAAAGTCCTTCAACAGGCCACCATTAATGTTGTCAAGGTAGGAAACTCATGATGTTGTAATTGGCAGGAATTTTTATCCTTGGGAAAGTACAAAAAGAGCCTTTTTGATATGTTTCTAATAAGCATGTACAATAATGGCACTGATTGAAGTTACACTATACACAATATATATACTACAGTCCACATAAGCTTGCAGTTTTCTCAGCATTTTATTATATGGGGTAGAAAATCTCCATGTTCAATTCTAGTAAAATTGTTTTATCATCTTAGATGTCTCCTACTGAGCTACCGGTATGTGCTGTTTCACAGTTCCACAGTGCTCAATAATGTGTTTATAATTTCTGTTCACAGACCGGCTTCCCTTCACTCTCCAACTCCCCCAGCTGTACATACTCCCAGGTCGACTTCGACAGCGATGATGAGTTCAACTCGTTCTTCGCAGGTCAGCAGCAACTTTCATTTGCCTTTGACACCAGTGTGAAATACTTTTCGTTTAAAAATCTAGAGGTTGCCAGAATTTTTAACTGTATAGTACTGGCAACAATTGATGCTTATATAGCCTTATACACACATGTACATGAACTTCTGTGTCATAGTGGTAACATACATGTATGTAGTGGTAGTGGTCAACAACATCTTGTACAGATGAATTGTTAGTAATCAGCAGTCCATGTACATGTACATGAGTACATGAGGATTGCTCTTGCTGGAGTACCTGTCATCTTTATTTCTTTGTCTCATTCCTCCAGCATTCCGTGCCCAAATTGTGGAGACCGTGCGGTTGTGTACCGGCCTCATGCCAAAGGTGGCGTTCCATTACACAGACCAGTGTATCCGCCAGCTCATGGCCTCCCCTATCAACTCCAGTGATGCCACTGCAACTGGCCAGGGATACTGCAACCTGACCTCCCCCTCATTTGTGAGATGGGACGGTCTGACCTGTTACATGGAAGCTGTTGTCAACAAGATAGTAAAGCTGAATGCTGTTCAAGTAGGTCCATCTAAGAGGATGTGTTGGCATGTAGTTTAATAATTGTTTGAAATGATGTGAATTTCATAAGTTAAGATGTAGGACTTCTAAGTGTCTACATCCTTGTTGTTTGTACTACATGTATAATGGTACACTGTTATTCCATTTAGATTTCTATATTCTGTTATATTCTCTTCTAACAGAATATACTTACTAAAATGAGTTTTTTCCTTGTTCTGCACAGCTTGTTATTCCTGAAGGAGTGTCTCTCTTAGAAGATGTCTTAGGGTACAGTCCTAAGGTATGTGTCTATAAATTTACAGAACTTTACTATCCAATTTTATTATTTGTCTAAGCTAGTAACTAGTCTTTCCAGACACAAAAACATTGATTTATAAAAAAACAAATCTAAAAATACAGTATGCAGGAACAAAAAGCAGGTATGTTGAAGCAGATCAACAGGGATATACTTAGTGCATCCCTCTAACCCAAAGTTAAGTTTAACCCACCAAAATGGTGGACACAGCATTACATGACTGCAAATACTAGTACACTACCTGTACAAACCTTTCCTTATCAACAATGGTTTGTTGCTTTGTTTTGCACAGGACCCCCTAATCCTGTCTTGTGTGCTGACTTGTGTCTCCACCCTGTTTCCATTTGGACTGACACCATTGACACCATACTGCCCATAGTACTACAGAAGGTGGGCTTATAATTACCTATACCAACAGTGTTATTTCAAACTTTTCATTTGTATTATCTTATCATCATGGTTTGTTGGTTTACAAACTTATGACTCAGCACTCGTTGTGTTCCAGATATTTGCTGCAGTGGTGTTTTCTCTTCCTGAACAGACGAATGTAGGTTTTTCGATCCTTTTGTATGTCTAAAGTTTGTGAATCTGTTATACATGTATATGCTTTTAGATTGTTGTTACCACAATGTTGTAATTGCTGAACTTTGTATGGGTTGTTGTTAAATTTTTGATGGGTTGTTGTTGGACCTCATATGTGGTGATGGCTGTTGTACGTGTCATGGTTGTTGCTGTTGTCGTACAGGCCACCATGCGCAGCCGAGGAGTTCAAAACGTGCGCCGCCATGCCTGCTCTGCCCTCCTCAGGATATGCAGGGACAGTCCAGACATACTTCTGGTCAGTCTGCTCACTAGTATGTTACTAAAGGCACACTAGTTTGTTTCATTGATTCTTTTAAAATAAAATTTAGACCAAGACAAAAGCAGAGAGCTAAGAGGAAAACTTGCATCTGACTGTATCCACTGGCTGATTGAGTACAAACTGTGTACACCTTTGCCACTGACTCTGTTGCAGTTCAGCATTTATGTTTTATCAGACAAGCAACAAATTAGATTGATATGACATTACAATAGACCTTACAAGAGAGATTGGGATTTAACACCTTTAGTTAGTTAATTTCTTGGTTGGTAATATTGTAACTTGTAGTTATGGATAATTTTAGACTGAGTATTCATTTTTCTGTGGTTCCACAGGCATCGTTTGATCTTCTGTATGGTTATGTGAAGAAGCTTCTAGCTGAAGAGCCTTCATTGACACAGATGGAGAAAACCTCACTGTCTGAGTCCCTCATGCTCATCAGTAACCAGTTCAAGAATTTTGACCGGCAGTCGGCATTCATACGGGAGATGGTGGCACCCGTCAGTGCAGTCTGGCTGTCACCCACCATGAAACAGTAAGATCCTGACTGTCATTACCAGTAAAGTACCAGTATTGTCATATACCATATATTTATTCCATAGACTACATACATAGACTGCAGTTTCTGCGTCCAGTTAGTCCAACGCTCGCATACTTACCTTGCATCCCGTGAGTTCCTTAACTCATATTGGTAAGGGATTGACCTAGGGATTTTAACTGTTCGTCTTGTATGTTTGTCAAAACTTGATAAAGGTGATTTTAACTATGAAATACATGTACTGTATAAAGCATGTAGAGTAATTTGAAGTGCAGTTTCAGGCAATGTTGATAGATGGCACTGCTGTACTCTAACACTATGGTGGTAACCTGTTTCTGCAGGGTTATGTCATCCCCAGCACTATTCATCTCCTCTGTGGGCATGGATAAACCAGCATGTCCACCTGGCCAGAATGACCCAGCTCAGAGGGACAGGCAACAGGTAAAAACAAACAAATATCATTCTTTCTTTATCTATCAATGATATCTATCAACCATATATTAACTTTCCACAGTGAAATGAGTACCAACTATCTTCTATTTTACAGCACCGAAGAAATTGTCGAATAAGTTTATAAATGATACGAATTATCAAAACTGGTGTGTCTACTTGTGTGGGGAAGTTTATCATAAATATGTTCCCTTCATTTGTCATAGTGGTTTTGACTAGTTACTCTCAAACTTTAAGTCTTGTCAGATGTTCTTGCCTTATTTTCTCTCTTGAAGATGCCTAACTTTGTGTTGGTGGCAGGTTATAAAATGATTTTGAGAGAATTGTTGCTGAAACTTATTGAAATTGACTGCTGCTGTCAAACATTGTAAAGGTCTCTCGATTCTGCAATGCACATATGATACCAGAAATTGCTTACTGTTGTCAGCATGCATATAGCAATACAATGTCATGTTCCTTGAAGAAATTGTTGCTCTCTGGCAAATATGGTGTAAATTTGAACAAAAATCAGTCAAGCATGTTGCTGTATAGTCTAGTTTTATCCATTTTTCTTTATATGTAGCTTAAAGGTATTTGTGGTTCATTGCCACACAACTGCCAACAGCAAGCCAAGCCGATAAAACCTGTATGTCAGCCAAAGTGAAAAGAAAATCAGTCAAATAGAAAGTGAAAACAGTTATTCAAATTCGAGAGTTGCTCCAAGGCTGTTTTTATTGAATCCAAGTAGACTGTCTATGCAGCTGTAGTTATTACCCAACTGCTAATGTGGCTGCTCCTGGCAACATGAGTAACTTTTGCTAGGATATGTTAGTTGTACCTGATGGCTACATGGGAAAGTGCTTTATTCTTGCAAAATCATTCTCTGAGGCCATGTTTTACTTTATTGTATGAATATTATAGTTATTCTGAGAGTCATTGTTCTGAAGTGATACTAGAACATGTACTTAATCTTCTAGGATGAAAGTGCTTCAAGCTAAGGGAACCCCGCAGGTTTTGTTTTTGCCTAGCAACTATTGTTTAAAACTTACATGACCTTGGACAAAGCAGGTGACCTTGCCCTACTCAAGGCCTCTCTAGGTCATCAATGTAACGTATTTTGTTGAGATAGAAGGCAGAATACCATTTGTTGTCAGTGGTGATCTCCCATCGATCCAGCACAGTACATTCTTGCCATGGGTGATCAAACTCACGTACATCTGTATTAGAATTGCTTGCATGTGCATTAGACGGGGCTTTAACATAGAATTGATGAGCATTCTAAATGAGATTGGATTTGCTAATGCGAGGAGAAAGAGTGCTGTAACTCCAATGAGGCCTTAAATTTTTTGTTGTTGGTAAAGGATTGTTCATTACAACCCACTTGGGTGTATTTTTAATGACCTTGAAAGGCATGGGAACTGGTTCATTACATGATTCAATTCCGAAAAGGACTAAAATGATTATTTTTCTATACACATTTTGCAATGATAGCTCTTGATGGAATACCCAAACAAATGAAAATCTCTAAATATGATATGCTAAGTTTAACCAGCAGATTGACTGAGTACTGACTTTGAAAGCATATATTTTTAGGTATGTTGGTTGGCTATTTTGGTTCTCAAGCTATTTGTATGTAGCTATACTGAGTTTGTATGGCATCTGTGAAGGATGTTTGAACACTGACATGAGTAAATATCACTATTAAAATTATCACAGCAATATTGGTGGGTATATGTAATATTGTCCTTAGGATTCATCCACACTGAAATGTGTAATGGATGTGTTACTATTCTACAAAATATACATAATTGTAGTTTATGGCCCATAAACATGTATTCATTTTTTGCGGGGGAGAACAGCGTGAGCTTGCAATTGGAAAGCAGCAGGGATTGAGTTACTAGGTGCCTTGAAACATTTTTAAGGACCCAAAGAATTTCACACAACAGCATTGAGACCATCCTCCTTTTGGCAGTGAACATTGCAGGCATATGCACTATTGATTAAACCCAACTCCTCTATAGGGACTGTAACAAAACTCTGCTCCTGCCATTCAACATTAATTTCCACACTGCCTGAGCTCATCTGCAGCTCCAAGATCAATACTACAGAATCCTTCCACATCCCGACTCTTATCTGACATCAGCTGCTGTCCCCCAAAACCTTTCCCACTGGATATCAGCCTCTTTCTTCTATTAATGTTGCATTTCAAACTTGGAAGTAATTCCACAGAAAGTCTCTAACAGTATTTCATAGAAAGGTGATACAAGAAAAGTTAACCACAGTTCTGGATGCTATCTTGTTGTCTACATCTAAGTGTATGTACAGTCTTTGTCACAAGGCTATTATTTATCTTGTGTAGAAAATGAGGTGGATTTTGTGTCATCATTAAAGTACATTCCAGTCCTGCATTTCCATGTTCAGGTCATTTGCAACCTGAAAATCAATACTGCAGAATAATTTATCCACCAAACCTCTTATCTAACATTGGCTGTCCTCCTTTTCTTACTTTGTATATTGCTGATGCATATCAATGAGGCTAGCCATGGATTTCTGAATGCACCGGTCAATTTCACTCTGGCTTATGCTTATTTTTGGAGCCACTACCTTCATCTGTTGCATTGATTGCAAACATTGTCAAATGGGAGTGCCTTGATGTCATCCTATCATGAGGCTTACCAAAGTATTTATCAATACAACCCTGAGATCATTGCAGGTATCACAGATTGCATGTACAGTTAATGTTACATTTGAGCAGTCGTTTGATTGGATGCTGCATTTTGTTGTCTGCCTGTAATAAAAGACTGCCAAATTCTCCTTTAGGCCACACCAATTTGATTTGTAGGTTATTGGATTCAAAAGATAATGCTGGACAAGAAGATCAACATGAAAAAAGTTTGACCTTAAAGTCTGTCCTTGGTAAACACAGTGCCAGGGAGGGAAATCCTGGGTTATAGTCAGATTCAGTTTTTGTTATCAAGGACCCCAATCTATTTTCATTATGTCCTTTTCCTTGATGTACACTCATACATGTTACAGAACTAAGGAAAGAGATTGATGTGACCCTAGGCAATATGGCTGTGTTATAAATATTAGAACTAGTAGCAGTACAGGTATGTCAGAGAGTACCCTGGGAACCAAACTTGTGAATAACCGAACTCGATGCCAAGATCTGCCGGGCCCCAAAATTATAGATGGGGTCTTGAGTCGGGGACAGGGTAACACTCGCCTGCATGCGTAAGCTCTCAGCACTCACCTTCACATGTTTGGTTCCAAGGGTAGTCAGAGAGCAGACTGTGAGAATGTCAGCTGCAGTTGTTGTTCTTTATATAGGCCAACCCCACTATACTTTTTGTACTGACTGATGGTGCAATGTACATTGTAGCTCACCACAACTCTATGTAATGGGCTCTAGCCTTTGAACAGATGTGGGTTGGATGGCTTAATGCCCCGTACACAGGCCCAGATCTGCATTTGATCCACTCATAAAACTTGAATATCTGATTTAATTTCCTACTGAGTAAGAATGTGCAGTATGCATGTTTCTGCCTACCACCCTGACACAATCTTGTGAGGAAGTCTCCTGGAAAATAGAAGCCACTGCAAGAATGATGTTCTTTGGCTATATGCCAGGCCATGGACAATTACCCACGAATTGTATTAGAGGAATGCTGGAGACTTTGCCAATATTACAACGATCAGTCTGGTATTCAACCATGCTGTACCATGGACAGAAGCTGATTGCCTGTTGTGCTGGTCCCACGTAAATTGTTGGCCCTGAGAAATAGACTCTGCAGGGGTTTGTAAAGTCAAAAGTCGTTATTACTTGGCTGCATTACCTTGAGAAATGCTTCAGACTGGATGTTCAAATTCTATGCTGACAGCTGATCTGTAGAGGACATTTGGTTTGTGGTCTGCAGACTGCAGCATAATGTATTCTTGCAAATGAAGCATTTTTTAATTACTGAACAGAAAGTGAAACAGAAAGTTCTTGACTGTCGCCTACGTGAAAGACAAATCAGCATGGGTCCTGCGGAGTCTACCTGGGGAGATGTCATCCTTCTTTTCTGATCCGCTTAAAATGAGGAGATCTATCACCTCCAACAAGGCTGTTCAGTTCTATATCTGTACTGATGGGATCATTCCTAAACTAGGCCATGGTGTTAATAATGCCTGGGTTTATGATAATAGTGGTGTGACATTTCTTCAGGCAGTTCAGAACAGAACACCCATTGGCATATTGATTTTGTTAGTCTAGATCCTCTCCCCTGTTATGGTTTTGGCAGCATATTGGGCAAATTCAATGGTTTATATGATTGATGATAGGAAGATGGGATGAAAAACAAAAGTATGTTCCCATGTATTTTTTTTTTTTTGGCAGTACATAACATCCGTGTCCATAATATCACCAGGGTCCATAATATCGCCACCTTGAGAAAAAGTGTGCTGAAAGAGATTTTTACTGCAACATACCCTAGGTATGTACATTTGAGGTGTGCAGGAGTGCATACCAAAAGTATGTTGCAGTAAAATTATCTTAAAGCACACTATTTCTCAAGGTGGCGATATTATTGACCCTGGTGATATTATGGATATAGATGTTACATGACAGTCAACTTCAATGCTGTGTCATTTCGTAAGACATTGCTGAAAAAGTCTGCTAAGACATTTTGGAAATAGCATGTCTATGCAGGTACCAAGATTCTGGTGGCCAATATATTATGTGGCGCACACCTTAGGGACTGTACGATATTTACCAGGGGGGGAGGGCCGGTCGTCTGAGGGGGGAGGGCCTAGGAAAAAAATTTTGAGCCGGGGGGAGGACCTAGGAAAAAATATTTTAATTTGGGGGAGGGCCTAGGTAAAAATTTTTTTCCAAGATCCCTTTAACTCTACAACGTTTTTATACACGTTCAAAACATGATTAAACGTCTGTCCCATACATATCGTAGCGATTAGCCGGTCATTGGAATCGGCAGAATTTTACGTTCCAATAATATCCATCCCTATTATTATAATGTATTCGCCCAAATCTCCCACAGTCCCCTTCAAAATCTTGCATTTTCGCCAGAATCGGCGAAACTGGACTACACAGTCAAATTACATGCATTAAAATCGCGGCAATCGAAACGATACCGATCAAAAATGTAGGGAAGGCTTGTCTGAAGATTTTGAAAATTAATTTTCGCCGTTCAACGCACCCTTCCCAGTGGTGTGCGTGCGTCGGCAAAGGTGACCCGCTGGTCCCGCCTCGCAACTCGCTCGAACTTCTCGGCGTGGATGTCGGATGTCGACGGATTAATTTGGTATTTTTTTTAACCAAAGACTATTTATGGGTTCACCACACCACGAAGTGGTGTGGTGAAACCATATTGCTTTTTCTGATGTTTCTTCTTCTCCTCCTTCTTCTTCTCCTGCCATTTTTTAAATGGATTCAGCTTCTTCATTTTAGGGCCCAAGGTCCTGAAATTTGGTATGGAGGTACAGTGGGCAAATACCCCTAGGCGTTTTTTAAATTATTGTGATACAGGCTTTTAGAATGGTTTTATTTGAGTTTTTTGGCTGTGTTATAGCAAATGTATTACTGTGTTAGTTTGCCTTGTTTACCACGTTTGGGCATGAGTCATCACAATGGAATGCAGGGCATCAACCAATAGGCATGCAGCTTTCCTCTATACTTCTTGCTGATTGGCTGTTGGGATTTAACTTGATTAACACCTGCACAGAAGCATTTCCATACTGACAGTATGTCTGTATTCAAGTGTTTTGGTAGGTATTTCAAGCTTTCCTGCTCCAGCATTGGAATGCCGGGCATGGTACGTTTTTTTTTATTTTGAAAATCAACAGTTTGCATTATGCAATTAAAAATCCTAACCAATAAAGTAGGGAATAGCTATCCAACTGTTGTTTTAGTTGTATTTTACTTCATATTATAGTTATATAAATCATTGTTTTCCCTTGTGTTTCCCATTCTTTCCCTGCCATGTCGTAAAATGTGGTGAACCCATCGCTGTATTTGCTCCAAAGCAAATATTGGCCTTTCTAGTTTAACATTTATATCTATGTCCCTCCAAAGTTAATTGAAAACAACACGTAACTTGGCAATATTGTTTCCCTGTTTGTAATAAAATTGACGCGGAAGAAGTTCGTGGACGAAAGGTAGGCTAGATAGAGGATTATTTCGATTACACTTACTGACTTTAAATTTATAGCTCGATGTACCAGCGAAATTTGTCCTGCCAAATTTGCCCCTCAACATGCAAAACATGGGTTGAAATTCAAAATTTTTTCGGGGGGGACATGCCCCCCCCCCCAAAAGCCGGGCGCCCGGGCCTACTCGGGCTCTAGTGGCGCTTGCGGCGCGATGGCTCGCGCCTTCGGCGCTTCATGCGGGGAAATTTTCAATCAAAATCTCGCCCTCCCCATACGAAATTTCACTCTCTATGATTCACGCCGGAGGGGAGGGCCTAGGAAAAATTTTTTTGAGGCGGGGGGAGGGCCTAGGAAAAATTTTTTTGACCTGGGGGGAGGGCCTAGGAAAAAAATTTTTACGCTACCCTCGGACGACCGGCCCTCCCCCCCGGTAAATATCGTACAGTCCCTTAGTTCACTTTCTTATGACAGTTACAATGATAGAACCTGACCCCATGCAAAACCATGAAGATTGTGTTGATGACTTTCTTGTCTAGTTTTGTTTCTAGAAGATAAGACAGTCAATAAGAAGTCCTTGGGATACCTTGGAGGCCATTGACCCTTGTAGAAGGTCAGCAGCATCTGTGGAAGGTCATTGATGTTGCTTCTTACATTGTACCTTCAGTTTGAGTCTTGCCCATGGTGGTCTGAGATTACATGCTTCTAATCATCTCTAATTAACAAAACCATTCATCTCCCTTAGAGAGCATCAAACAACTCAGTGAAGGTGAATAGGTAATATGCATAGAACAAGTACAGATAAGAAAACAGAACTGGAAGTGAATAAGAAAGAAGGAGTAAGCTACAGGCTACCTCATTAACTCTGATAAGCTAGCTGTAGCTTCATTCTGTCAGGTCTTTT